CCTAAGGCATCGCGTGAAAAGGCGTCTAGTGGTCGCCGTACGTGGCTGAGAGCTTCGGTTGTCTGTAATTACATCGCCTTACAATGTCAATGACACTTGGCCTCGAATTCATATGGGAGCCCGCGAGAAGTCTCGAATCTACCTCTGGGAGGATATGTATAAGAAGATAGAGCTTGCTGTTGTTGTGGCCTGAAGTTTTGGATCATCATCGACCTCCAGATTCTATTGTCACTCCTCACAGAGCTTTGAAGATCTCAATCACTTTCCGATACTACTCTATCTTCACTACTGGCTCCCAGTGTTTCGTCTCTTCTACTCCAATATGCCTTCAGGATCTTCTCACAAGCATTCTTCAAAGTCTTCTTCCAAGAAGTACGAATACCAATGGGTCTGGACTTGCGTAAGTGGAAGCCCGATCTCTCATAGCTCATGATCAATGCTCATGGTTCTTAGTGCCAATGTGGTGATTCGGGCATGAGTTGCAACTCGACTCCGGGTTGCCCCAATTGTAACATCTTCCGCTGCGCAAATTGTCCTCTGCAGCAGGTCAAGGTCAGGGTCGCCTAAGAGCTTCCTCGATCATGAACCATATTATTACCTCGCCGCTTTACGCTCGAGGAGTGGTCGACGAAGAGGATCGTCTGATGCAGCTCTGATAAGTCAAATCTCGACCCAATTGTCATGTATCGAAGAGCGGGATTAGACGGAACTTGCGAAGACTCATTGGTCAATTGGACCAATCGAAGTGGCCGAGGTGGGCTTTTGCCACTCGGGGGTTTTGTGAGCATACGCATGGGGGGTTTGATCTTTTGGAGTTATGATCTGCATGTACCTACCTGTTTTTCCCACGGGGAACTGTCCAATTGGTGTTTTTTTTCTTTTCTTTTGGCAACGTTTCTTAGCTGTCGGATGAGTCAAGATGGGGGGACATGCACGCGGTTTCCTATTGATGGACTGGCTCACATCTAGACTTCTTGGCGCGGTTCTGGTATCACTTTTCTTTTTCCATCCATGTCTGTCCGGGTCTGGGGTCATGTCTACAGGCTAGATGTCTCACGACACACTCTCTACAATAGATCTCACTCCCTTGTTTCCAGCCACACTTCTATATTCCGAAGGCTCCCCTGAAGTTTGTGCGATGTGAGCGAACGTTGAGAACCTCGAGTCAGCCTTAAATGACGTCGACGTGAGATGCGAATGGGTTTGTCCGAGGGGCTTCTTCGTCCAAAGATGAAGATAAGCGCGCATCTTAATAGATCTCGTGCTACAGTAATCCTTGGCAAGAAGACACGCCTCTTTTCTGTCGCTGAGTTCAGCCTTAGGAAGAAGTCTCAGACAGTTTGCATCGCCTCTGGTGCCCCTGGTGCCTCGTTCGTGGAACCAACCTCATTCTCAAGCCACAGCCAGCGCCACCTCGAGCTGAAGAGCTATCGCGAGAAGTGAAGCCCACGGCTGAGGACAGCAGCAGCAGCATCCCGATTTCTCACGGCCATGGTGTTGTTGCACCGGTACTTTTACAGTGCAGTCACTTCAAGCTCTCTCGCATTGCATATTGAGTCATAGGCCCCACGTAACCGCATGAAGCGGAATGCAACCCACAGAAACCAAAAGGACCGCGCCTACCCGCAAAGAGACCAACATCTCTCTGACATTTTGAGACGTGCGATTGGGTGTCGCCGTTTTTAGAGCACGCATAGTCCTTTTAAGGGTGTGATCAAGCGCCGCGGGGTCGGTAGTCTCACGCACAAGAAGTTTTCGAGGGTGCTTCGAAAAGACCCCCGCCAGGCACCAGAATCAGAAGTGCACACACTAGAAGGACGTGTGAAAGGACCGGTCCAAGGTCTCGGTGCCGGAGACACACGAGGCGGGGCGGGGCGGGCTGGAAGATCGCGGAGCTGACACCGATACCTGAGGTACACACACCGGAGGCACTGCCTCTCGCCCTGTCACGAACTGCAAAAGGAAAGCTCTCACACATATTCTTGTCGTAGAGTCTCAGACAGTTGCGGTAGTAGACAGGGCGTTGTCAAGTCTAACTTGGATATTGGTGCTGAAATTGCGTACAGCGCAGTTGCGCGATTCGATATATACGTTATTGTAGGGAATTGTTACTTACCGAACCGGAGTCGGCTCCGCCCTGTGCTGGGATTGTGCCTCAACGACAATGCCCAAGTGCGCAATGACACCAAATACCATATCGCGAAAGGTTTTGTACGTCATTAGGCGTTCTCTGGGGATCCCACGGGAGTTATAAGAAAGCTGTGATATCCAGAGTTGTTGAAGTTTCCGAGCAAGATCACATCATCATCATCATCGACTTACTTCAGATACCACCAACTCCTCTCAGCTTCAAGCAGCAGCAACTCGAGCAAAGACCTTTCTCTCATTCTCAATTTACCTTCGACCTTCATCAAACACTCAAATCAGTTAAGATGCCCAGCCACAGCCACAAGCACTCCTCTTCCTCCAGCCGTGGAACCGGCGGCAGCAGCAAGCGATCCAGCAAGCCCGCGGTGACCTACACCTGGGTTTGGTACTGCAGCAATTGCAGCACTGGCCCTTTGAACGCAACCACAGACCAAGCCTGCCCAAGCTGCCAGCACTGGCGCTGTGAATACTGCAGCATGCAGCAGGTTGCTCTGCCAGCCAACCGATAAATGCCATCTCGACACATGGATAGCTTCTCGGCCGAGTCAATGGGAGAGCCAGCAGAGTGAGCTCAAGCTTGGCCGCCCATCACATTTGGCCCGCCAACTTCCGCAAACAACTCCGCCCATGGCACGGCGGACCGAGCATCATCATCTCAAGACAGCATCGCTCGGTGTAGAACCAGCACTGCCGCCACCACCCCAGTCGCCTTCACTCAAGCTCACGACTAGCGGTGAATAGCAGGTGGTCCGCATCCGGAGAGCAAACGCAAGGAAATAGTTGAGCAAGGGAAAAGAACGACTGCTCAGCCACGGATGAGATTATGTAACTTTACGAAACAACCAGCAACAGTTCCCTTGGTAAACAGCACCGCCATCATCGACAGTTTCTTTTGTTTGTGGAGTTCGGGATAGAAGGACAGACAGGGTTGTTTTTCTTGGATAGCAGATAGAATACAATGACATTTCCCTTACATTTTCAAAAAATTCGGTATCTTGGTGACTCTCGTGACGCATCGCCGTCCGCAGCACGCGAATTGGACCTCAGTCCAAGGATGTGACGTCGATACACTGTACCTTTCGCCCACGGCGTGGGTCCATTGCGGGAAGCCCACTTAGTCCATAACGCTAAGGTAAATCTGAGAAACGCGCCACTGCGCAACGCTGAGATCCACTTGGAATTTCGCGTTAGAGGAATGAAAGATGCCTTGCTTACCTGTATTCTGACTCTATCGTGGGCAGAATTGCGCAGGGCGAGCGCGCGAAGCTTTCGGTTTGTTTGCTGTCGTCAGTCAGGAGTAGCAGAGAAAAAAGAAGGGTGATGTGAAATCCCTGAAAATGAAGATGGCGGGGTCTTTTGGGAAGTGGTGGGGTAAGCTTCTGATTGGACGGGCATTGAATGAGGCTCAAGTAGATAAGATAAAGCATGTATCTGGGTACCTGAGTGCGCTTCACGCAGAGCCTCCCCAAGCTCACTTACGTAATGGAGGGCGCTACAAAGTACTGTACCGCGCGCCTTGCCTAACCGTTCTAACGCGCATCCTCGTCGAATCATCACCAGCCAACCAGCTCCGCCTCCCCTCCAGTTGCTTTCCTTCGAGGCAAAGGCCCCAACCCGACAGTCTGTTTCCAACACCCATCAACTTTGGCTCATTAAAGTGCACTGGGTGCTGATGCAACGCCTTCAGAGCACCTTTTAAGTCCAACGCATCCGTGCCTCTTGTCAGGAAATCAAGCTGCTGCAAGGGCCCCATGGCGCGCCCTACCCATTTCAACTGGACGTTGTTGGGGCACAGACTCGGCGGACTTGGAAGCAACCAACCAGATCACACCCAGCGGTCCTTTCATAGATGAACCAAGTGACACTAAAACATTTCTGCCTCTGTGCCTCTCTCACTCGGTCTCGCTCAAGGCATACAATCTATTACATCATCATCTCGGCCCGTATTGTCTCAAGTAATAATCCATTTGCTCGAACCACATAAACGGCCAACATAGATTGGTTGCCGCTCTACCTTGGAAACCCGGGACAGAGATGCGCAGCAAGTTCCTGGCATGAAGTCGTCGTCAGGTGATGAGCACATCAATCAGGCAAGCTTCTAGAAGCACCGCCACGCTTCAGCAACGTCCAGTATCAATTGTTTCAGGCGGTGAAAGACCAAACAAAGGCTCCGTCCAGGGTGCTAACAAAAGTCCCTTTTCCGGTCGGTGACGGATCCACATTCAGCGATTCTCGGTCAGACGAATGGCTCAGAGTACGCCGCCTCAGAACTGACGCCTCGAAAGGCATCAAGTCATCAATCAGCGCTTGCCGCCTTACAATTTACCCTTCGGTGAGCTCACGGTGAGCCACAAACCCTGCGCTGCTGAGACCGAAACTCGATGCAAAAAACCCATTTCATCATTAAACATGTGTGCTTTATGTATTCAGAGCGTAGACGATGACCGCCGCCGGAGAGACCCTTGCCAATCGGAAATGATGCAGTAGAAAAAATATGCCCAGACCTGTCTCTGCTGCCACCGCAAAAAAAAAACTATCAAAAACATGACCCGGCACTGGCCAAGGGGCCCGATCGTACGTATGCAGCGAGATGGAGAAAATGCCTTCTGCTCCGCGAGTGACAAGCTGACGCTGTTGCCTCCCGCCACCCCTTCATCAACCCTTTCGTCGTCGTCCCCATGTCCGTCCATCCCATAATATACAAGTCCCCGTTTCGCCTGTTGAGAGACCGAAAACACCTGCGAACGCCAAACATATCCGGACCGCCCTCGTTTGTCGACGTCAGAACTCGATTAAATGATTAACCACTGGCCGTGCACCCGCAGTACAGCTCATCCGCCACGCTCCCTCTTCTAGTCCTGTCGCGCTGTGATGGTCGCCCCGGGGCTCACAAGCTCGGGGCTAACGAGCCTGATGGTAGATTCGCGAGAGAGCTCCTCCAACGCGTTGCGCGAGGCCTTGCTAAGGCTCCTGTGCAGCTTGGTAGCGATCGTTGTCTTCTTCACGGGTGTCTCGTCATCTTTTGCCCCCGCAGCCACGATCGTCATGCTGGGTGCACGGCTCGACACCTTCTTGGGCGAACCCTTTCCGTACGTCTTGAGCATCTTTCCATTGCCCGACTTACGGACAGCGGTAGCTTTGCGCGCCGGGTTGGGAGCCGTGTATTTCTTCGGTGTCGCTTTCTTGGCGACTGCCTTCGTGGGCGTCGCCTTTGCCGGAGTCGACTTCGTATTGCCGCTCAAAATTGCCATCGCCGACACGCGTCTCTTAACAGTTGCGGCGCCCTTTGTAGCGGCCTTGCTGACGGCCTTCAGGCTGGTTGTAGCCGACAGCGAATGTCTCGCTCCCTTAGCAGCCTTGATCTTGCGCTTCTTGACAGCGCTGCCAGTCTCGTCATCATCTCCAACCAGCGTCTCGAATTTGCGCTTGCTAGCTTTCATAGCACCCTTCACCACAGCCTTCAGAGTCGATTTGGGCGGCTTGGGCTGTTTGACTTCCTGAGGCTTCGGCCCTAGAATGCCGCGACAATTCGGTGCGCCACAGAGACACTTCTGGACGTTCTCATCACTGAAAGGACTGAAGTTGTAGTCGTACGTGAGCTCCTCTCCAGTCATGATGGGCTTGTCTCCTGCGAAAAGCGCCATCCTGGGCTGGCCAGATACGATCCACTTGATCATACGGCAATTGGGAGCACATGAATGATTGACGAAGCGAGCGATGCTACCAGTCGTAGCGTCAATGATCATGTTCTGGTCGAAGCTCATGAGATAGTAGCACTGGTAATGTAAGCTTCATCTCCGCAACATGTGACTGGTCGGAGACGTACCTTGTTGTCTTTGTACTTGGTTTCCATGCGATTGCTGCATTCCTCGTCTGTGATAATCTCACCCGTGTACTCCATGATGATCTGGTTCGGCGCAAAGCAACGGTTGGCGCGGATGCCATAGCCACGGTCAGCCGTCTTGATGACCTCAACACCAACGCGGTACTTTCCACCGCCCGCCTTTCTCTCCTGAAGATCGGCAAAGGCGCGGTTCGTGCAGTTTTCGCGCCCAACATTGCAGTTCTTCTCATCACACTCGTAGAGCATGATTCTGTTCTGGCAGCTCTCGCCGCAGCCATCGTCGGGTGTGCAGACGCACTTGGACTGGTCCAGGAAATGAGGTGTCTTCTTCCAGTAGATGATGGAATCGCCGATGAAACGGTCTACCAAAAGTTAGTATAAGCAAGTACTCCAGCGTACAAAATCGAAACATACTCTTCGTCATCTTCCTGAACTCGTCAGGCTTCGGTTGTCCGGGCGGCAGAGGGTTGCAGACATCAAATGGAAGCTTGAAGTCGCGTCCACTGAGAAGCAATCGCAAGCCACTGAACATGGGCAGCGGAAGCGCCTTGTTGGGACGCCCGTAACCTTGAAGTTCGGGAGTCTGTGCGAGCTTCTTTTGCTCCGCATTCGACAGACCCTTGGTCAGGTCGGCAGGAGTCGCTTGGCCAGCATACAGTCCACGATCGAGGTACTTCTTTGTGCGCTTCGTCTTTTTGGGCTTCTCAACCTCTGCAGGCTTCTCCACTGCTGCCTCCTCCTTCTTCGGCTCCTCAGACCTGGCCTTTTTCTTGGGCTGGATCGGATCGCCATTTTGATCGACAATAACCATCTTTCCGTTCGACCAGACCGTCCTTATCACGGGCTTTTCCTCGATACCGGCAAATTCGTTCGTGTCCTGGAGGCGGCGCAGCTCGCGTGACATCTTGGTGATCTTTTGCTCAAAAGTCTTGCGACTTCGCTTGCCCAGGCTTGAAACCTTGGTCGCAAGCGAGTCGACAGGAGTGTTGAAAATGCGGGCAGTGTGGCGGGTAAGCCTGGGAGTCTCTGCTTTCTCCGTCTTGGCCTTCTTCGCGCGCGGGGCCTTGAGCTCGCCGACGGACCATTGAAGGTCCAACGCGTCGATCCCGTCGCGAATCAGGTTGCCAGCAACACGAGAGACGGCATCAGCTTCGCCATTGACGAGTGTGTCGCCTGAAATGGTTCTGCGACGACTGCTGGCCACATCATCGCCTTTGGCGCGTCGGTGCCCGCGGTTAGCGGTACCGCTCAGTTGAGACAAGTTATATACGGCCTTTCCGGAGCAAGACCGACGTGAACGGGGAGCAGACTGCGGTTCTGAGGAAGTTTCGGGTGTTGGCTCTTCGGTAGGTGCAACAGGTTCTTCGACCGGAGCAGCGGGCTCTGCAATAGTAGGTTCGGGAGCGATTTCGATCTGAGCCTCGATATGGGCTTCAATGTGAGTCTCGGTCTCGAGGAGGACGGGCACATCGTCGAGTTTGGGGCCGTCCGAGGCCTGGCTGGCAACGTCGGAGATGCTAGTAGGGGGTGTCGAGCTCGACGACGCGATGTTGGAAGAGCAATCAGTGGCGGCAGCGGACAAGCCGCTTTCGCTGGGAAAAAGAGACATATTGGGATGAAAAGCCCAGTCTCGACGCGATTTTGAGCGTGGGCAAAGTCGACAAGCTTCTCGAGAGTATCTCGAGTCGAGTTGCGACGCGTTCCAAAATGAGGTGTGTGCGTGGAAGAAAGTTGGGGGTGGCAGAGGTCCCGACACGAAAAGCGGAAGGAGGGATTTGGATTGGACCGGGGTGCGGAAACGGGCAGGCACGCAGAATTGGCTCGTTCGTTCGCTACCCTTTAGCTTACTCGCCGGGCATTGAGTGGCAATAAGGTAACCTCCGGAGCTGGTCTGCGAGGTACTCTCTGTGCTGCAAGTGCTGAAGAAGCTACCGTGCAAGAACAGTAGCGCCCTGAGGGAGAAAAAAGGGGGCTGTTGTTTGTTTGACAAGGGAAAGGCGGAAAAAATTGGAGTCTGCAACAAAGACAAGAAACTTGAAAAGGTTGGCTGTTGTTGAGAAATAGTTTTGAATTTGCAGCTTGTCGGTTGATGAAATTTTCTGGACCGTGCCAGATAAGCAAAAAGGGTTGTGGTAAGAGCGGGCTGATGTGTGGGAGTAAAGAGAGGTTGCGCGGCTAGAGGCGCGAAAAGGTGTGTGAGATGAGGTGGGAGACGCGGTATGTGAGTGAGTGAGCGGTTTGATGGAAGGCGGGATGGCTTGAGGGACGTTCCGTGTCGTGTTGCGGAGAGTGGGGACGCGACCGATGTGAATTGATTGATTGATTGATGGAGGAGGATGGATGCGTGGATGGTTGGGGGGATGGAGCGAGCTGATTGACGGATGTGACTGCTCGCCCGCTTGTCCTCTCGGTTGATTGCTTGCGTTGCTACCGCACTGTTGCTGCTGCTGCTGCTACTCCTCGTCGACTGTTTGCGATGATCTCGTGTGAAAGTATCAGGGTCTTCTGGAACAGACAGAGAGGCTGTCTAGGTTGTGCGAGGAGGCAATCCAACAGCAGTGAAGACGAAGAAGGCGGTTGAGCGAAGAAGTACGAAGTGGGAGACGGTGGTCAAGATCCGGTGGTTGTGAGAAGACTTCCCGCAGGAGGTGCTTGTGGTGGGTAAAGTGCTTGCTGGGGTGAGGAGACAGACCACGCAGTCTTTATTCGAAGAAAGAGAGAGCGAGAGGGCCCAGGGCGGGCAGGCTTGTCTGGCGTGCGGCGAGGTGTAGGCGCTGTGTCAGAGAGGACCTTAATTGTGGACGGATACGCCGCAGCAGTCTGGTCTCTCCTTACAAGTGCCTCGCTTTCCTCTGCGGCCAGTATTGTTAGGTCCGGTCCTTCGTCAAAAGCCGAGTCAAAGCAGGTAAATGCGGATGCGGATGGCAAATGGTTGTGCGAACGAGAATGAGGTTGGGCAGTGAGACTGCAGACATGGAAGGATGAGCGAGGTACATAGAGAAGCGTGATCTGGCCGCCGACCTGGTCTCTACAAAAAAAGGTAAACAGAAACCCACGGTTCGTGTGTGTGCCTCCCCTCGGGCTGTCTCCCGTTCTCCTCTCCTGTCGTCTCCTCTTGTCCCTTCCTCAGCTCTTGTCCTATCCTATCCTGTCCTCCTCCACTTATATACATCCCAGTTGAACATTGGATCCTTCCATCAGCTGACTACGCAGCAATTGACCAAGTTCCCGGCTGACCCGGGGCATTTAAGTTGTATATAGTCAAGATGCTGCGGGGAGAACGAATTGATTCGATAAGTTGAAAGCCTTCCATCGCATCATGTGTGGTTGGTTTTTGGGTTTCGAGTTGAACATGTTCAAGTTTTATCTGGTTGTGCTGTTTGTATCTCCTCGGACCACCTCCTACTTTCTGTCTCTGTCGCCGGCGCGCCACTCCTGCCTGTGCTGGCCGAGCCTCGCCCCGATAGAGGCATGATGGACAACACCACACCTCGGACTTCCCGCACGTATCGTCCTTTTTGCCCCAGCCGCATGCCGCCCTTCAGGTTGCACTGTCTAGTTTGAGTCCCAGCCGATTCACCACATTGTTAGTTACCAGCCGTTCACAACAAAACCTCAGTCTCACGGGCTTGCGATATCTGCATTGAAATGACTCAATTTCAACTCTTCAGAGGGAATCTTGGACTTTCGCCCATGATGCCTAGTCACACAGACAGGCAAGCGACTTGACTGCGAGGTAGGTGCAATACGGGCCACGGATTGCTCCGTGAGAACTGCCTACATCGACTCAATTCCATGTATGAGGAAAGAGCTTGAAAAAGTGAGTTGCAATTAGAATCCAAACAACCCATGTGGTGAAAACAGGCCGAAGTGATGAAAGGAGCGCATGCTGTGAGACCTCCAAGACGTGGGATTTCGCACCAAAATGCCACTGGCGGAGTGAAGTCAAATAACTCGGCACATTAGCACATCTCGACCGCAGGCTCAACGGGATATGAGGACAACAAGAGATGTTGACCTCAGACTTGTTTCAACTTCATGACGAAGCACTATCTATCGCCCATTGACTTAATAGTGAGACGACCTGTTATCGGCTGTGCTTTGGCGACTGCATATCCCGTGACGTCTCTTGCATTTCTACTATGGCCGTCTTTACTATCGTCGATATTCCTACTTCCACCGAGTATCTACGCCTCGGATATGGAAAATCTAGTCCCGCAAGCACAGAGGACATAGGCGTCTCTCAATTATTTTTCTTGTTCTCGAAATTTTGATATAGGTAAAACTCATGGGGGAGATGAGAGGTCAGTATTGTTATTACCGAATGAGAGTTGCCTGCACGAAATCTCGAGGACGAGATCATATCTGACACACGATTCAAGGTAGCTTCGCTCGGCTTGCAGCAGTATTTGAATCGTTGCTCTGCAAGCTAGCTGAGTGCTCGGGTACTCAATGGCAGTAGAACAGACCGCCCTTCGTTACTGCGCATATGCGAAAATATTTTTCGTGTTCGAGGTACATATTCTCGAGGCTGAAGGACGTCGATAAAAGTGGAGATAGCGGTGATAGTTCTAGACAGAGATGACGACGGCAGAGGCATAGTCAAAACAGGTGATCTCCAGCAGAAACGGACGCCGCCTTAAGCCATGCCCCAAGCGAAGAAGCACGCCATCCGGTGATGACATGGATATGTGAATCACGCTGGTTCAATTCATATCTGCTCAGAAGACCGTGTCCGCAATAGAAATCGAACCAGCTAGCTGAAGCTGCCATGAATATAACATGACGAAGTCGTGCCGATGATAGCGATGGCATCCAAACCTCCGGATGTCGGATTTCAGGCGATGCCCCCTGGGCGGGTCGACGAGGTGGGTGCGCACCACCAGCACTGTGACCTCGATCGCACACGGTCTGCCTAAACTTAGCAAGTCCATCAAAAAAGGACCAATGTGCGTCTTCACCAACCTGTTTCAGACGGCAGACAAATCACCGAGTCAGGCAGGGCCATAAAATAAAAACCTTGAAATGACAAGGGGAGAAAAAGAGTGTAAATCACATTGTTTGATTGTTCCTATTAAAAGAGTTCTGTCTGTCTGAGGATCTCTGTTCCAATCGAAAACGAATTTCGGAAAACGCCACGAACACACACAAGATGGGTATTATGGCATGAACACAAGGAGAAACGCAGACCAACCCCAAGCCGGAAAAAGGCGAATCCAGTCTGTCTAACGGCGGTATCCATCTCCTCGACCTCCGCGAGGCCACCAAATCTCCTTGTCCCGCAAATCAACCCACAACGATCCCAAAGTCAAGCCGGAGGAAGTGAATACAAAGAAAGGAAACGAAGACAGGCCGCCGTTTAGGCAGCGGTGGGCTTAGCCTCCTCCTTGCCAGCCTCCTTGGCCTCAGTATCGTCCTTGATGCTGAGGTCGGCGACATTGGGGACCTCGGAGCCCTCTGCCTTGGGAGCCTCCTCCTTGGGAGCTTCCGCCTTGACAGGCTCAGAGGCCGCGGGGACAGCCTCGGCGGCCTTCTCCGGTTGAGGAGCGGCAGCAGCAGCGACGGGCTCGGAAGCGGCAGGGGCAGCGGGGGCAGGAGTCTCAGCAGCCTTGGTCTCGGTGGCGGGGGCAACAGGAGCTGCGGCATCAGCAAGCTTCACGGTCTGGCCGGCGGTCTTGATGCTCTCGCCGCTGCCGCCGTAGTCCTTGGGGAGAGACTGCTTCAGAGCAGGGAGCTCGTTGCCCAACTCAGATCCGTAGCCAAGAGGGTGGAACTTGGCAACAGTCTTGGGCGCAAGGAACACCTTCATGGCCTTGAAGACCCAGCCCATCAGGGCAGGAATGTTGACGAAGTACTTGTGGTTGAGCAGCTCCGGGTAAGCCATGGCAAAGATCTTGATGGTCTGGGAAGAGGCATTCTTGACGGCGGGGTCCATGCGCAAGAAGCTAACGTTGAGGTAGTCGTGGACCTGGATCATCTGGTAGGGGTCCTCGCCACCCTCGGGAATGGGGGTCTGAACCTTGTCCAGGCCCAACTTGCGAACGCTGAGCTCCATGAGAGCAGCACGCCACTTGATGAATCTACAAAATCGGTGAGCTAAGATGTTTTCTCGGCAAGATCAGAATCTTATATGATGGGACCAATACTCACTCATCAACGTTGCCAAAGGTAGCCTGCTTGTCCTTGACAGCGCCGTAGATGTTCCAAGTGATGATGATCTCCTTGCCCTCGGTGTCCTTGTGGGTGGTTACATAACCGAGCTCATCGAACTTCTTCTTGTCGAAAGAAACATCGTCGAGAAGCTTGCCGGGGTTAGTATCGCGGCGCCACTCAAGAGCCTTCTGCAGCTGGTCAGCGGCCTTGGCGACATCATCGTCGTTGGCGCGCAAGAACTTCTGGAGGACAACAGTGGTCGGGACGTGAGTGTTGTCAGAGAGCTGGACACCCCACATCTCCTTGTGCTTAGCGGCCTCGAGAATGCCGGGAAGCTTCTCAAACAATGAGGCAAGAGAAGTCTTCTTTTCCTCGGCAGGCTTCTCAGCAGCAGCAGCAGCGGCGGCGGCGGGCTTCTGCTCCTTCTTCTGCTCTGGCTTCGTCTCGGTAGCCTGGGCGGCCGGAGCAGGAGCAGCGTCCTCAGTCTTCTGCTGCTGGGCCTCAGGGGCAGCGGCGGCTGCGGGAGCGGTGGGAGCCGCAGCAGCAGCATCGGCAGCAGGAGCAGAAGCACCGGCAGCAGCAGCAACCGGAGCGTCAGCAGCCGCTGCGGGAGCAGCAGCAGGAGCCGCGGCGGCAGCAGGCGTGTCGTTTGCAGGTTGAGCAGACATGGTGACAGAAAAATCCGTGAGAATGTGATCTGTAGTGTGTGCGCGTGTGTAAACCGAGTGACAACTCCTGGCTGTATTTTTGTACAAGGATGGAAAGAAATTAAAAATAAAAATAAAAAAGGTTTACCGCCCCTCTTCCTGCAAGTCGCGTTAAGCTGCCTGAGGTGTATGCCGTGTGCTGAGTGAGTGCGCGTTGGGGTGTCTTTTTTTTTTTTTTTTCTCCCTCTTCCTTTGGGAAAAAAAAAAGGTGTTGGGTAATAACAGGGCGGCGGAGGCAGGAGGTGCGGAATAGCTTGGGTAAGTACTATTAATGAAGGAAACGCACGGAAAGTGGCAGCAACAAACAAACCACACCACCACCACCACCACAACGATCATCACGTCGGCATGGGACCTTGCTACCGTACCTACCTAAGGCAAGGTATCTTACTCTGTCTTTGCTCTTGACCCCGTTCTACATTACTTCCCAGGCTACAGTTGATACGACAGCACCCGTAGCAGCATGAGCAGCCCGCAACAAAAGAAGTGACAGGTATGGGTGGCATAGGCAGGTACACTGTCTGCCCGGTCTGTTACTTCACATCCATTGCTCCTTCACCTCAGATACCTGCCTTCCTTACCTTATCGAACCGCTGAGTGCCCCGTGCATTGCTTCCGGGGAACTCGAGGGTGCCAATCCACCTTGATCCAATCAGTGCTTCCATCTGTCCAATCCCAAACTGCTCCTGCTCAAGCTTGTGCAGCTCGGGAGAGTGGAGTGGGGATGGACCCCCTTTTCCTGAGAGTGATTCGCGCCTTCTGTTTCGACGGTGCTTGCTTGGGGCCTCTGTCCGTACCTAGCACTCTAGTCCGGACATCTGCTTCCTTGTTCGCTGACAAGCTGACTTCTGCTGCGCGTCTCTCTGTGCTTGTGCTCTAACTTGTGTTGACCGTTGCTCATCAACGGCCGCCTTGCCTTAGACTTATCCGTATTCTGCGCCCGAGGTGGGTAACTGGGCTAATGGAACAACGACATACCTACCTTACCTTAGTTAAGGTACTGGACATACGTACCACGTTGCCTGGCTAGTCATTGATCGATGCTACCCCGGAAGTCTGTGTTGGCTGTTCGGCATAATCAATCGTCTGGGCAATTATGTACGGCTTCCACAAGACTTCCTTTGCTCTCGGTGCACTGAACTGATCAAACCGAACATCGGAGAAATACCGGCAACTTGCCTTACTTCTTCCTCAACTCATCAAACTCACCCCGTCGCCATTTACCAAGTTCCCAACACCCTTCCATTGCCAATATTCCATCCGCCCCGCCCTCCGTAATGAGCCATGCCGGAGCCCATCCGGCCCATCACACTTTGTTGTTGTACTGCTTCCACTGTCCTGTCGTCGCCAACCTGCAGCCAGCCTGCATGGAATATTTCAGGGGCTCCTGCTTCCTTGTGACGGTCCATCGTCGTCTTAGTGGCCCCAGACCGCAGACGAGCCCCGCCTCTGGCCCGTGCCCCTTCAATTCCCGCTCGCCAGGGCAGCCCGTCAAACAACGCCTGGGCACGCACGCCACACGTCCAGAAACCACCGTGGCGGGCTGGTAGAACGCCCTGTTAGGGGAACCTATGGAACCCTCCAAATTCCATTCCCACTGAGCGTCGCCCTATCACGTCCCTTTCTGGCCCTGTCCTGTCCGGCCCTGCACTCTCAACCTGCAGCTGCCGGCCGATGCCGTCCTGATGCCGCGCTGGTTCCTGCAGCCAGAGCATGTCCACGGGTACCTCCCCCCCTCCACGTCCCCCACCCCGGTGGCCCGTAGCCGCATCTGACTGGGCCGCTAGGCGTGCCACCAACACTGCGCGACTACGGCACTCCACTCGCCAACTTCAACTTCACCACTACCACCACCAATACTGCCCACCTCTCGCTCTGCCACCCACGCCGTCGCGACGCCACTTAAACTTACGGGCTAGATGCTGTGGCACTCTCGTTTCAAACAAAGGAACTCAAGGGGCAACCGAACTAAAGGACGCAAGAAACTACCGTAGGATTCTCATTGAGCGGGTATAGAGATCAGCCTGTCTCGAACCCCCAAGTCTACCTCAAAAAAGTCAATCCGAAGCAATCCCCCGCCTGTGATGAAAGGAAAACCAGAAAACACCCATTGTTCCTGTGAGCTTCAGCCTGAGACAAACCAAATTCAGCCCGTAATTCTTTGGCAACCTTCTGCCCTATCCTTGACTCGTCCAAAGCGCAAAACAAGATTAACGGGCCCAAGAAAACGACCTGTATGGATGCAAACTGCAGCGAAAAGAAAAGCTGACCCGACGTATGTGTATGTATACGAGAGTCAAAAACGCAAAATTGCAAGTACCAAGAGCAGAAAGTGCAACGCGACAAGCTTCTTCCAGTTAGAAAGCAGCGGCTCCCCTAATCAAGTTTCGCCGTTGTCGCTGGGTTATCTTCTCGATGAACGCGTACTCCTTCAGTGGGCAGCAATGCCAGGCAGCGCCGAACGGTGGTAGACGTCAGCAGTGATCAGAGCACGACGAATGATCGACTCCATCGTCTGATACTCATGAGAGGCCAGCTGATCCAGAGTCATAGTGTCAAAGACCGGGCCCACGGGGTGGTTCAGCTCGCGCCAGAAGTAGCCAAAGTAGCCATCCGTGGCGTCGCCGACAGCGCGGGTCTGGCACTTCTCCTGGAATGGTTGCGACTCAAGAAATCGATTGGTCTCGTCGCGAATGACAGAAATGTACCACTGGAGACACAAGCAGTTAGCTCTGGACCCTCAAGTTTCACGAAATCTTATCCAGCTCGGGGTGGGGGAAGCTTACCTCGATCACGTCCAGGGGAACGCCGTTCTTGGGTACAAGCACATAGAGGTGGCGCCAGCTCTCGGCAAAACGCGGCTGTCCGAAAGACCTCTGCTCCATCTCCTCCATGTCAACCAGGTAGGCGACGTCGTCCTTTTGGGTGGCCGAGAAGCCCTCACAGCGCATCGCTGCAGCAACCACGCGCTTCAGGAGACGCTGGGTCAAATTGACCTCGTCACGGTGGTCGCGGATGCTACTGACCAGGATGCGAAGCAGGTCGCATGTGGCCTTGTGCATGGCATGGCGCTGCTGCACAGTAATGTGCGTCTTCATGTGCCAAGGGAACTTGGTCAAGGTGCTAATAAGGCACTCGAAAGGACGCTGAGGGCACTCCTTGGAGAAGGGGGACTGACACGGTGTGTTAGTGTACCGTTTAGGCAATTAGGATGGGACAGACTTACGCGGTGAGGCACCTCGACGTGCTTGACGAGCATGGTCATCTCCTCGTTCGAGACAAAACCCTTGAAGTTCTCCCAAGGCTCCTGAGCGTTGTCCGGAAGCACCTGAGGGTTGCATCCGTTCCAGAAGACACCGCGAGAGGAAGGGAACAGGTCCTTCATGAGAGCAGACTGGCTCGAGAGCTCAATCTCGACGGGGCGCTGACCGATGCGAGTAATTCTGCCGCGACTGAGGTTCTGCTGATGCTTTTCGACGGCCTTAGTGGCATCCTCCAGAGTGTGGAACTCGACGTAAGCATCAGTGGTCTTGCCAGTGACACGCTCCATGATGATGTGAACGGGCTCCTCAGTATCGTTGAGGATGCGGGAGTTGCGGCCGAGAACAGCAATGATCTCGGAACGGTTGGTCACAAAGGGAATCTATAGCTGATCAGTATCCGTGGCATAAGATGTCACAGTAAGTCTTGAGGCCAACGTACGTTACCAATCTTGACAACACCTCGAACCACAGAGTTACCCGGGCGGTTGGCCGGCTCGATGAACGGGAAGTTGGCATGGTTCAGAGCTGTCTCGACAGAGGGGAAACCCGTGGGTGTACCCGTCAGACGGTTGAGCTGAGGAGACCGCTGGCTGCGAATGTAATCGGTAGGAGGGGCCTCGGGAGGGGCCAGGTAGGGCGTCACGACTGTCTGAGGCGCGACATTTCGCGGCGGATAACCCACTTGGTATGGAACCAATTCGCCCTGGCTGGTGTAGGACTGAGTCGATCCCTGCGGCTTCATGACGTTGCCATTGTCGAGAACATGCTGAAGGGGCACGTTCTGAACATTGTGGACCTGAGCATTCTGAGTGTGACCTCCGTTGTTGACAGAAGGCTGGGGACTGGGTCCCATGGTGTTGGCTGACTGGTCATCATGAGGGAGGTTGTCAAAGTTGAGAGTCTCGCCAGTAGGGGTGCCAAATGAGGCCTGGCCATTCATGAACATCTGCGTAGCGTTGTATTGAGAGCCAAAAAGAGGCATCTGAACAGGGCCGCCTTGGTTGGCTTGGGCAGCGAAGGGATCGTGAGAGTCGGCAGGGGTCGTGGGATTGCCGTCCGCACTCTTCAACAGGAACTTGGGCGGCATGCCAAGATGAGCAAAGTTGTCGGTCACACGGGGAGCAAAGTTGCGCGGCTCGGTCATCAAGCCAAGGTTGGACGCTGTGGGGGTATCATTGCCAACTGGGCTAGAGACAACCGTGTCGAGAGTAGCTCGGTTACCTCCATGAGAGAGATGAACACCCATACCATTGTTCTGGCGGGTGGGAGTGTGGTAAAGGAGATTGCCCATCGAAGCGCTGCCGCTGAGGTGTCCACCAGTGGCTACACTGCTGGTAGAGACAGGAGCGTTCTGCTGGGGAGCAGCCCAGTGGCCGGGGGCGAACTGCAAGCCGGACATGATCTGGCTGTTGTTGTACACAGCTGGAGGCAAGGTTGTAGTAGCAGGAGAGGAGACCTGACTGACAATGTCGGGCTTGTCCTGGTCCTCGTCGATCTCGCCATCCTGATAAGTTGCGCTCGAGTGAGAGCCGCTCGTCATTCCGTTCAAGGACTGGTTGCGAGAGACTTGGCCGTTGACCTGTTGTGTTTGTAAGTCATGGCGATCTTTGGTCGTGAAGACTGGAGTTGTTACATACCTTCTTGTCGTCGTTGTCGGCCTTGGATCCGTTAGGAAGCCAAGGGGTGGACGCAGGGTTCAGGTCCGACGAGGCCTTGTCTTGGAACTTGTCCGAATGGGCAGTGAAGGATATACCATTGAGACGTACACCACCAGACTCATCGACGGCCTCGCACTCCTCAGAGACAGTCTGAGGCAGATCGGCGACCTTGAAGGCCCCCTGGCGGGCCATCTCGCGCATCTGCTTGCGCATCTTCTTCTGATCCACCTTGCCTATGCCGGCAAATTTGGGGGCAGCCATGATGAGCGACAACCAGATAATCTCGGGCGAAAGAATAAGGCTGACAAGTAAGGATAGGGAGGCGGATGAAGAGCAGAGGTCGGCAAGGAGAGGGAGAACAGTAGGTGTTCTGGGTGAGCAAGGTCAGCGACAGGATTGGAGAAGCGAAGAAGGGAAAGGGCAAACAGAGGGGAAGGGAGTTGAGCTGGTAAGAAGTGTCGAAGGGAGGGTTGAAAAATAAAAGACAGAGAGAAAAGATTGCAATTTGGGCACAAGAAAATTCTCTTGGTGAATGAGAGGGACAGGTGCTCGGTTGCCAAGAGGACGACAGACGAAAGTGAAGAAAAGAGGCAAGAGCAAGACAAACCCAGTGCTCCTTCCTCGGATCTGATTGATACGACAATTTTGCCAGTGCAAAAGAATATTGGGAAAAAAGGTATCCGTGTTACAATGGATTCTTACATGTGAGGGGCGACTTTTGCGAGGCGCAAGTTTGCGACAGGGCAAGCACAGAGACGGAGTGATGACGCAACGTCTTCCTTCGGGCGGCCGGCTCAGACAGTTTCCTAGGTGTATAAAACAACCAGAAACTGTTTTGGGAGCAAGATTGTAGAAGAAGGATGTGTTTTGGTGGGCTGCGAAGGGGCGAGGTTGGTGTGAGTGAGGAAGAAGTACGAGGTTGAGTCCCGCTGTTTTGGGTCGAGGCAGGAAAACCGAACGTGCCGGGCGGGGGAAAAAAGGCAAGGGACCAAAGAGGAAGGAAGGATATTCGAAAGAAAAAGAGGTCACCTACCAATCCAACACAGACGAGTGCTAGAGGTATAGTAATCGTCGTCAGAGGTGTGTGGGAGGTTGGGTCCGGTGGGAAAGGAATGAGTTGATTTTTTGGGGGGTGGAAGCAAGAAGTCGTTGACACTCAGTGACCGCAAGTAATTTCTTTAGAACGAAGTCAGGAGGGAGTCTAAAACAGGAAGGAGGGGAGAAGGTGAGGAGGGGAGAAAGTGAAAATTGCATGGAAGAGAAAAGTTGCTCGTCAAGGCCACACATATCGTCGTAGACGAACGAGACTAAAAAGGAAGGCGGGGGTCAGAAGAGCGAGTCTTACCAGAGTTGCGACCGAAAACCAAATTTTGTGAAGGCCAAAAGAAAGTCCACCGGGAAGGTAGATTTGATCCCGCTGGCGGGCTGGCCAAATCGTGGCCAAACACTGAGTAGTGGTGGTGAAGGTGACGGTGAAGGTGATGAGAGAGGTGAAGGTAGGGGTGTGCCAGTTGCGAAAGGATAAAAGTGGTTGTTCCGACAAGGTCGAGAGGAGTGAAAAGAAACGACGGGAGGCGAAGGACCGTGCAGGGCGAGAAAGTTGCTGTGAGGTTGGTCTCCTGGTTGCTCGGTAGTGAATGAGGGTTGCTGACTGGGAGGTCCTAAGCGAGGATGAAAACCAGATACCCAGAGGTTCTCCAGAAGACGGAAGGAACGACCACGACAGACTCGTAGCTCACTAGGAATAAGATATCTCACTGTCCCTATCTATGCTGGCGAATTCATATTGAATACTGGCACAGAACTTTAGACCAGGAAGGCAGGTGCAGCCAAACCCGTCCCAAGCTTCTGAGCTAACCCGAAGACAGAAGCTCATGACCATGAATGATTGGTCTGCGCCGCTACCTCTGATGAATTCCTGTCGATTCGGTAGAAGGGTGACAAGTCATTGTTCTGTGACCGCGACCTGATCCACGGAGAAGCTTTGCTAATGAGACCGCCTGATTGTTTTTTCCTGTGCTAAAACGACTACTTTGTCTGTGGCTATGCACCTTGATCTGGTTTGATATCGTTGTCGTTGTTGTTACTATTTTCGTTGTCGTCACCGTAATCGCCGTCGTCAGTATCATCGGTAACGTCACCTACGTCGTCGTTGCTATCGCCCATAAGATAAGTATTTAAGTACATAGGAAATCTAGGCGCGCACATAGGAAAGGACTAGGCGATCTTTTGATAATTCCATCAAGCTCGCTTGAATGAAGGGGCATGGGAAGTCTCGAGCGCAGCTGGGGATGTGAACCATCCTACATCTCTTGCCAAGTTAGCGACATCCTTGGCAAGATCATTGATTCCAGATGGAAAGATGCGGTCCTCGACTTGACGCTCTCAGCACACGGTGAAGGTTCAGGCTCATGATCATGTCTGAATTTTTGTGTATCAAGTATGTCCCAATCATCATTCCCACACGGCCCCGGATTTGCGGACCGATGTCGAAGTCGGACCCAATGTGGATCCCGGCATTCCGGCTACGCTCGAGCCAACATCTAACTCCAACTCATGATCCTTGCTCGAAACCTCGATCTGGCTAGTATCTTGGGCGAAGTAGGCGGGAAGCGTTCACTTGTTTCCCGATACTAACCTCTCAGACTTTGTTACGCTTTTATGGGTATTTAATCGAACTAAGGAACACGGTCAATGACGTCAGGCTGAGTGTGAGGAACAAATCAACTTACGGGAGTTAGGAATGATTCGGCAACAAATCTCGCTCTTGCGTTGAGCTGGGGATTGTTAGCAATGAAGTCCTCCTGCGGAGTGGCCCTGAATTCGTCGGTAGCACGTACGAAGAGCTTCATCTCCGAAATCTCCTTATCAACCTCCTCCATAAATTGAATGATGAAGTCGACCAGCTTGTGCTTCAACATCTCCTCGGTATGGAAGTTCGTAATGAGGAAAGAAATGTCGTATCCCTGAATAAAATCATCAGCATCCTAAATCTGGAAAAGGGGCTCGTGTGCCACGTGGCATCGAACTGCCGCCGAGACCGGCCAGCGACTGAGGCATCTGGCATACCTTGATGGGCTTCCTCCTGAGAATGAAGAAAGACTCGGCTCTCTGTGTCAAGAACCGGGTGAACTTGTGGACTAGAATGTGCTCAATCTCGTCGGCCTGCTTAATCTTGATGGATATCCGCACGGAGTTGATGCTCGGCTCGATCAGAACGCGTTCGTTCTCGTTACGGGCGATGGTGAGGGGGGTCAGGAGGACCTCGGGGGAGGTTTGAGCCTCAATCTCGGGAACATTGTGACGTTCGGCGGTTTGGGAAGCGAAGTTGGAGAGCGTGAGGGCGGCCGTCAGACTGCTCCGGACGGCCTGGAGGTAGGGTCGCAAGGATTGAGACTATCAGAGTCACGTTAGCGAATTGAGTCGAAAGACAAAGCCTGATAACACGAAGAAGCTCTTACCATGATGGCGAAGCCTGGCCGCGTCCAACCTTGGTGATATTGAGAGGTTGGAGTTGGATGTTGACCGCGGGGTTCGTGAGGTTGAGCACTGAGGTTGGCACAGTCGGAAGCCTGACGTTTCGTAGTGGGGCGACTAGCACCGCCGCAGAGCTCCATCGACCGTGCTCATGCGCAAGCTGTCACCGCAACATTGCTGAGTCATCCCCGAGCTTCTCCACGTGATCTGGAAGCAAGCTCCTTAGTGGCGATCCCCCGCCTGTGCTTGTTTGTTGCATGTCCCCGTTAAGCCAAGACGCATGTCGAGATGGAGGTGTTCAGCCGACGTCACTTTCAGTCAACAAGTGCCTCTGGAGATAATCTGGGCCAGGTTGGGTGCCAAGATTCCTAGATTCACTATCAGTGAACTGGAACAGCATTAGAGCCCGCATGCATTGGATTTTGCTGCAACGAACAGGAGCATCTCTCGCCTTCCGAAGACGTTCGAAGATGGTCGAATGCAGGTGATAAGAGGCGATAAAGGGTGCTACAAGGGGATATCCCAATAAACGAATCGGCAGCTGAAACGGGCCCTGCAGGTACACCGCTTCCCCGCCTACGTGCCCCCCGTTGCCTTGTACTACGTCTTTCTGCCACCAGCTGCCCGTACTGACGCAAACCTCTGGTGCCTTCAACAAACTTCTGCTGTACCTGCACGTCTTGCAGTTGGGTTCTGTTCTAGATACCGCACGCATACTTTCCTTTCCATTCCGCAAAAAGTTCAGCCAGCATTGCAACAATGGCGTCAATACCAGGTGAGAACATTTAGGAGCAATCGGCAGCTTCAATGCTTACTAACTGGGGGGTAGTTACCGTTAGCCACCAAGGCACCAAGTACCAAGTCGAGGTCGACACTTCGTCCAACGGCGAGACCTTCAAGTATCAGCTCTACAGCCTGACCGGCGTCGAGCCCGAGCGACAGAAGATCCTGGTGAAGGGCAAGCAGGTCAAGGATGATGACGACATGGCCAAGTTCGGCCTCAAGGCGGGCGCGACCCTCATGATGATGGGAAAGCCCTCCGGAGAGAACGCCGATCTCGCCCGACCCAAGGAAGCGGTCAAGTTCGTCGAGGACATGACCGAAGCCGAAGCTGCTCAACAGGAGGGTGCTACGCCCGCTGGTCTCACCAACTTGGGCAACACCTGCTACCTCAACTCGACCCTCCAGACCCTCCGATCGATTCCCGAACTCCAGACAGCATTGACCACACACAAGTCGGGTAGCGGCGGTGGCAGCAGCAGCTTTGGCATGGGATCGACCGACCTGGCTACCCAGCTGACGGACCTTTACAAGAACATGTCGGAGACCCAGGGCAGCATTCCCCCGCTCACCTTCCTGAGCACGCTGCGCATGGTCTACCCCCAATTCGCCGAAAAGTCCAAGACAGGAAACGGATATGCTCAGCAGGATGCCGAGGAGGCCTGGTCTCAGATTCTCATTCAGCTGAAGCAGAAGCTTGCCGAGTCCGAAGGCTCCTCCTTCATCGACAGATACATGGCTGGAGAGCTGCAGTCTACACTCGAGGCTGATGAGCAAGCCGCCAGAGACGGCGGCGAGGAGCCCATTAAGTCCAGCGAGACCTTCCTCAAACTCAACTGCCATATCGATCAAACAATCAACCACTTGCGTGATGGTATTCTGGCCGCTTTGACGGAGAAGCTGGAGAAGAAGTCGTCCGTGTTGGACAGAGACACCACCTACACCAAGAAGTCGCAGATTTCTCGCCTGCCAAAGTACCTTACTGTTCATTTTGTTCGCTTCTTCTGGAAGCGCGAGGTTCAGAAGAAGGCCAAGATCATGCGCAAGGTCACTTTCCCCCACGAGCTCGACGTCGTCGAATTCTGTACCGATGAGCTGAAGAAGGCGCTCATCCCCGTCCGCGACAAGGTTCGCGAGATCCGAAAGGATGAGGAGGATATCGAGCGTGCCCGCAAGAGGCGCAAAATCAACCCCAACGACCGGGGCGACATTGCGGGAGCGTCCGGAGCTCCCAGCAAGGAGGAGAAGACGGCTTTGGCGAAGGCGAACGAGAAGAAGGCCGAGCGCGCTGGAAAGGTAGTTGCCACGACTTCTGATGGCGATGTTGAGATGGAGGAGACATTCAAGACCGACGCCGAAGTCGAGGCCGAGAAGGATGCCGCCCTCCTCGCTGCCAAGAAGGAGCTCTATGCACTTGTCAACCAGGATCTGGCCAAGGACGAAGGCTCCAACCAGTCTGGAATCTACGAGCTGCGCGGTGTCGTCACCCACCAGGGTGCCAGCGCCGACAGCGGTCACTACACTGCATACGTCAAGAAGACTGCCCCTATCGACCCCAAGACCGGCGCGAAGGGTGAGGAGGACGGCAAGTGGTGGTGGTTCAACGATGACAAGGTTTCGGAGGTTACGTCAGACAAGATCGATGCTCTGGCGGGTGGTGGCGAGTCCCACTCTGCTTTGATTCTTCTCTACAGAGCTATTCCGCTGCCCACCGTCGAGGAGAAGTCGGAGTAGATTTTACAGCCGGAAAAGCTGTTGAGAGCATCGGCCTTGGCGTTTACGAGCGGAACGAGCTTATGGGTGGCATACAAAACGACACAATGACACAGGAACATGAAACTAGGGAATAGATAGAAAGGTCGATGAATGTAATGGCCAGAGTTCATTACTCTACTCGCTATCGCTTTTGGTGATGTTCCCATCTCTGTGATACATTTACAATTACATTGCCGCCCATTTGTCGGGGTGCTCTCCGTTGCGTGATTACATGTGCATGCAGGTTTGCTGCTGCTGTATATCTGAGCAGTAGATTCAGCAAGATACCTGGCGTCGCGGTTCTTTGCTACTAAATCTTTCTCGCTCGCCTCTCTTCCATTTGGCCCTGTTAAGTAGTGTGGGGCGTGTTCAGGTTTGCTCAAGGCCCAAAGACACCCTCAAGGCCATCGCATGGCAACTTGGGTCGAGTGCCGAGTGGCGTCCCAACTCGATCAGCTCTCTGGTTTCTTCGCTTCTCTCTGTCGTATCCTCTCCTCCAAGGCCGTCGACTTTCTCTCCCAGTTTCGACGCTCAGAAAGAAGGCGGACTCGCTGGCCCTCCAGGAGCGCAATTTGCTCGTCATATGGCGACCCATGGAACTTCTGTCGTTCCTGCGTGGAGTCAGTATACAGGCAGCATGAGTCAGGTGCATTTTACCCACCTCTGTCCATTCTTCCTGAGTCTTGAGCCCAGCGCCGTATGTGGCGCCCGTGAAGATGATGGCTGCGCAGCCGGCAGCGGTTAGGCCGGCGCGGAACTTTGTGAACCCGCTCATTGCGACGGTGTCTGGTTTTTTTCCTCCCTCTTTCCTATGAGCAGGAGTTCACCAGTACTCCCTCCAAACCTCTCTTGATTGCCTGCTCTTCTTGTCGCTGGCGTAGTCGGATCGGTGATTTGAGGCCGTCAATTCGTCCAGCACCGGCGCGAAGATGTTCCAGCGTGACCGCGTGGAGGACGTGGAAGAAGACGAGGCGACGGATGAGTCTGTCGCCGTCGAGTCGAGGGAATTGGTTCGCGAATGGCCTCGTAACCTGCCAAACGGCGAATAGTGCGAATACCTGCGTCGCAGGGCCGGGGGGATCGTCGAGGGGCCGACGGAATCGCACTCGGACGACTCGGCGGTGGATGGCGTCGATGGCTCTGAAGGCCAAGCTTCGAGCTCGAGGGAAATTGTTGGCGAGATCGCCTCAGGGGCTTCCTCTGTCGAACAATGGAGAGCGTGGACTGCTGCAGAGGCGACGCCGTGTGAGCAGCGGCCGGGAGCGGGAACACCGGTGCCCCGCTGAAGACCAAGACTTTGTCGCTGTGATTCCGGCAGCCCCAGCGTCCTTAGTAATCGACCTGCTGCGGCGGCGGCGGGCGTGACGTCGGCCATGACTGGTTGCAAAGGGCAAGGCGCTGGATAAATGGAGAAGAGCAGGTAAAAAGAGAGTTATTTAATATATATCCCGTGCCTTTTACCTTTTCAAACAACAGAGAGAGACAGACAGAGGAAGTGTTGGAAAAAAGTTTTGCGTTTCCTCGCTTGCAACACCCAAAGCGAACGGCCGAGCGAGAGAGATAAGGACCAAACTGCCTTTTTGGTTGTCATTCGGTAGCATTTCAGCGGGCTTATTCATTGCCCACTCATCTCTGGTGCGTTGAAACAAACTTCGTGAGAGCTCTTTCTGGCCCCCCTCCACCACCACCCCTTGGCCTTCCCTCGTCCGCAACTCTTTTGTCTCTTCCTCCACCCTTCATCCCTTCTTTGCGTCTTCCTACCTGACAATCGCGACTTGCTTCCCCCCTGCTCGCCCTATTCGGCACCAAGCGCCGCTAGACAACGGCGGGATTCTTCCCATACATCCTCTTATCGGTGGCTTACCCGGATGTGTTGTGTTGTCTGATCTGCCTGCATGGGGGGATTGAGCAGACAAGTGTGCGGCCCCCCTGTCTGTCGCAACCCCGGCTGAAACGCATCCATCTCATGGCACCGCAACGGAGGAATCTCTCTTCTGGCACTTGTCCAGCTCTCTTCCCCCGGTCTTCCTGGCCCGCATGAAGCCAGACGTCTGTCACAGAGCCAGGTGACTACCGCTGATGGGACGCAACTTGTGGCAAGTGCACGCGAAAGGAGTTGCGGATCATGTCTCGTTCTCGCGGCCAGAAAAAGAGGTCAGGATACAGGGGTGGAGGATCCGCGGAAGACGTGGGAAAGAAGGCTTGTCTTTTTTTTCTTTGGCCTGCACGTCAAGTCGAATCGAGAGGATGACAAGAGTTCGATTTAAACACCGCCTCCCCCGCAGTTGCAGTTGATGGTGGGCTCGTTGGCTTGGCTGATATCGCGGGACGCTGGATGATGGGCTGGGACCGTCGACTTCATCAGCCAAAGTTGGCGCTCGCATGTCCGATTGCCGAACTCTACGGGGCTCCATGTTAAAGCACCGGTTCAACCCTCTTTCCAGAGATCCCGCTCTTCTGTGCGGAGCTGGGCTGAAGATGGGCGGAACCGCGGGAAGGCGGGACGACTGGAAAGCCAAACCGCCGAGGGGCACGTCACTCGACACCTACCTCTGCCTCTCCCGCGCGTCGCCTCAACTTCTCCGGCCCTATTGCCCTACTGCCCGATATTTCTTCCTTATGCGCGGACGTCACAGAACTGCCTACATCTTGCCGCAGAACGCCACGAGAACTAACTCGATATCCTTGTCTCCCCTCCACCAGCCCGACGAGAGCAGCGCCGTAGAACATTGCATTGACTTCCTCCACACCATCCAACCGTCGGCCCTCCGTCACGCCGCCACCCACGGCTTCCTCCCATCTTATCCGAGGTTGCATCCGCTGTCAAAGCCCCGTTAGTGTGCAAGAGAAAAGAGGCTCTGCCGCACCGCACCGCCGCAATGTCGACCCCGCGCGCCTTCGTCATCCGCCACGGCGAGACGGAATGGTCCCTCAACGGCCGCCATACCGGCTCCACCGACATTCCCCTGACGGCCAACGGCGAGAAGCGTGTACGGGCCACCGGCCGGGCTCTTGTGGGAAGTGACCGTCTTATCGTGCCGAAGAAGATATCACACATGTACGTCTGCCTTCTTCGTTCATTCTATTGCAACCACCACATCACCCTACGCATACTTGGTTGAAATTGTCGACTTCATCTGTGTTGCCTTTGCCCTGAAGAACACTAAATCCATCACCAGCTACGTTTCTCCGCGCCAGCGTGCCCAGCGCACATTTGAGCTCCTCAACTTCGGCCTCACCGACGAGCTCCCCTGGAAGAAGCATGGCCAAGTAGAGGGCGACGGACCCAAGTGCGACGCCTGTGTCGAGGTCACCGAGGACATTCGCGAGTGGGACTACGGCGACTACGAGGGCATCACGTCCCCCGAGATCCGTCGCATCCGCAAGGAGCAGGGCCTGTCCGAGAACTGGGACATCTGGCGTGATGGCTGCCCGGGTGGCGAGTGAGTACTTTCCGCTTGTCCCAATTCTCGGAGGATCAGCCCCTTGCCATGCTTCCTGCTGAAGAACCCACCTTACGTGGGATATTCGAGGGAAGGAAGTGGAAGGGGACCATGTGAAATGAGTACCGCAGCTGACCGCGTGCACCACATAGGAGCCCCCAAGATGTCACGGAACGTCTGGACCGACTGATCAAGGACATCCGTGACAGATGGCACCGCCCCGTCATCGGCGACAAGGAGGCGCAGAAGGGAGACGTCCTGATCGTCGCCCACGGTCACATCCTCCGCGCTTTTGCCATGCGTTGGGCCGGCAAGACGCTTCAAGACGGCCCGGCCTTTCTGCTTGAGGCCGGCGGTGTCGGCACCTTGAGGTGAGTATCATCACACAATCTCGCGGGCAGCAGCAATTCACTTCTTTGGCAGAGACACTAACACATATGCTGCAGCTACGAACACCACAGCATCGAGGAGCCGGCTATCCTGCTCGGAGGTGCCTTCGCCGTCGACATCATTGAGAAGGAACAAGCGCAGCAGCAGTAGAGTCTCATGTTGGGCAGGCCAGCGTATCAATTCACCCACTTCCTTCATGTTCGTCGAGTGATCGATTCGTACCAGACATATGTTCGTTTCCATAGACTAAACGCCTTTATCTTTTTCTAAACTTTGGATCCACGCGCCAGGAACACGCGTCTCTTCATCCCCTCTTTCGGTGCATCATGTCCGTGACCATGGCCATGATCATGCCCGTCACCGTGGTCGTGGCCGTGACCTTCACCATGCCCATGCCCATGCCCACCAAACACAACGCCGCCCCCAAGCTCCTCCATGGCAAAGTCCTTCCCGGCCCCGGCCTGCTCAAAGATGGCACGCATCCTCTCCTCCGAGAACCCGTGGTGCATGACGGTGTGCGCGGCCGGCAGACCGTGGTGCATCTTCTCGTGCGGCAGGAAATCGAGAATGATAAAGACGCCGCCGGGCCGGAGCCGTTCGACTAGCTTCTTTGCGGAGTACTCCGGGTCCGCAAAGTGGTGGAAACCCAGCCCGACGCCGGCGACATCGAAATCACGGAACCCGGCGCTGGCGAAGGCGGCCGGGTCCGGGTCGGCGGAATCGGTGAGGTTCCCTACATACGCGCGCATTTCATCGGTGCTCAGGCCCTATGCCGGAAGAGGTTTCGGGGTCAGCTGAAAGGCCACATCTGTTTTTGCAACGTAATCACGAAGTTTGTCCGGTCACAGGTTATTTCGTGCATTCCCGCCCTGCTCCTGGGATGTGATGAGATGACATTGGGCGCGGGGGAAGGGTGGCCCGGACGAGGAAGGGGGAAATGCAGTACATGGAGAGAGGGATGGAGGCAGGGAGGGAAGGGGAGGGGTGGTTCGATGAGCCGCCGTCGGTCCCGTCGGGTGTGTGTGCGCGCGACGGCGGCGTGTGAGAGTGTCAAAGTGGTCACAGCACCGCCGTCCGCGTCCACGTCATGGGGGTCAGCAGGGCTGAGATGAGACCAAGGTGAGATCGAGAGACCGGACCAGACTG